GCTACTTTATTTCTGTTATAATTTTTCTCCAAAATTGAACCAAATACTAATATTTTGTCGACAAACAAAAAATTTGAACCCGATCCAAAGACAGTTTTTAAATCGAATGAAAACGAATATAAATAAAATTTGGTCTCCCCTCATTTGAGAACAATTTCCGAGGAACATGAAATACTCGGATTGAACCGAATGCCAACCCGTAGTTAGACACACTAATCAAGTATTCTTTTGCTGTTCAAAGTCTAACTCCATTGGACGACCGTATACATTTGGATTCTCGTCTACGTCTACTAAAAATTTAGTCGATTTGGTGTTTATATTACAACATATGAGTTTCAAAACCTTGCATAGACCACATTTGTAACAACGAATCTCTCTGTTGTTATCATTGTCCTAAAATATATACATTAATCATCATCTCAAAATTTCCTTGCCATTAAAGAAAAAAGTTACCAGTTAATCCAAAAGAAAGTCATATACAACAGAGCAATTTTCTACCACTTCTCCTACTTATCAACCTTTCCAACCTCGACATCCTCGCCGCCGACGCGGTCTCGTTCGCTGCCACAATCCACCGCCGTGAGCTTCTTAGCCCTTTCCGCCTCCAACTCCCAATTGGTTCGACACATGGCCACCATCATACCAATCACACATGAGACCTGCGCTGCAAGCATTCCAAGCCAAAGTCCCTTGAAGCCGAACCCAAACCAGAACGCCATACCCGCTCCCACCGGCATTCCAACCGCATAAAACGCCGACAAATTAATATTTGCTCCGATCTTCGGCCTCGCGGATCCTCTGAGAACGCCGCATCCAGTCGTCTGGGGGCAGTTTCCGAGCTCGCAGAGGCCAACGATTGGCAGAGCCATGGAAGTCAACGAAATGATGTCTCTGTCATTCGTGAAAAGCTTAGCCCAGACATTTCTGACCGAGACCGTGAAGAAGAGAGCAGTGAATCCAAGGGCGATGCTGAGACCGAGTCCAACAATGGCGGCTCTTCTCGCTCTCTGTGGCTGATTCGAGCCCAGCTTGTTTCCGACCCGAGTAGAGACTCCAAAGCTCAAGGAAGAAGGAAAAATGTAAACAAGGGAAGTGATTTGGATGAGAATTCCCATTGAAGCAACGGTTGCTTCAGGGTTTAAGAGAAATCCACAAAACAAAATCATGATCTCATACAACCACCACTCGAGACAAACCGATAGGCAACTCGGTAACGCAAGAGCGAGTAATTTGATCCATTCTCTCACACAATCTTCATTTGACTCCTCTGAGATCTCCTCTTCGCTACTTAGCTTTTCTTCGAAGAAAACGATGTAGAGGAAGAGAAAGACGACAAGGTTGAAATTGGACACAACACCGCTCAAGGCCACGCCTTTAATCCCCAATCCAAGATACAACACGAGGAAGAACGTGATTGGCAGATGGAGGAAACTAGCGATGAGTGTGCAGATCGATAAAGGAAGAGTCTTTGACTGCGTCCTCAGATAAACTCTTAATGGGTGTAAGAAAGATTGAGCGATGAGATCTGGAACAGAGTAAAGCAGAAAGGTGTGAGCTTCGAACACAAGATCCTTGTCCTGTCCCATCATTTTAAGAATCTTGTCGATGTTGATCCAGAGAAGTGTGACCGGGAGAGAAGTGAAGAGGAGGAGGACGATTCCTCGCCGGATAGTGGCGTGGAAGAGGTTATGGCGTTTGGCGCCGAACGCTTGGGAGCAGATAGATTCGACCCCCATGGTCAAACCGGAGAAAACAGAGTATCCGGTGATATTCGAGAATGCGAAGGCGAGAGAGCCACCGGCGAGAGTGGCGTCACCGAGACGGCCGAGGAAGAAGAGTGAGACGAAAGAGCGAAAGTAGAGGAGAAGACCTGTGAGGGCCAGTGGGAGAGAGATTTTGGCGATGGAGATTGCTTCAACGGCGAAGAGAGAGAGAGGAACAGAATCATTTTTAACTTTCTGACTGGAGCTTTTTGGGAGTAAGGGCTTTGTAACTTCGTCTCTGACACGATTTGATTGATACATTCTTTTTGTTTTGTCAATATC